CCCGAGGCAAGCGTTTGCTCCCGCTGCTTTAATTCAATGCAATCCCTTCCCGTCGAGGCAAGCACTGTAATTCTCTCCGGTTAGTCCACCAGCAGATGACAAACACCCACCTCTCCGCCTCTTCCAAGGAACGAGGGGACCGTAAGGCAGAGTTTCAGTTTCAGTTTCTTTCGCCGGTCAAGATGTCCGTTAAAGTTTAAATCTTCCGGACAAAATTAGAAAACTGCCGGTCAAAGGTCTTCTTTGTTATTTATTGAGCTTTAAAACAAATGAATAACGACTCTATATACAGATGTAGCAGCTTATTTCAGACTCCAGTTTACAGCTTCCTGCCTGCTACCTGCCTGCTACCTGCCTGCTACCTGCCTAAGACCAGCATCTGGGAATGTTAAGCCCTCCCACTATTTTCCAAGAGGGCGTTGCCAGATTTTCAATTTCAGGATTTAACCAGGAGATGGCGCTTCATTCACAAATACAGAAAGACAACTTTTCATGGACTTTCAGTTTTGTTTAGAAGAGCATTTGAACACTTCAATATTTTAGATCAAATAAAGTATATCTAATCTTGTAATTCAATAATATATAGTCTTTATATATTAAATAATCATAATAATAATGTAAATGTTTACATTACACTTCTTTATTTGTCATGCGGTCTACCTACGCTGTAAAATGTATTATCTCTTCGATTTACACACGGTGTAGGTACCATATGTGTTCGGCCTACCAGATGTGTTCGGGGTCCGTTACGCTTACCAATGACGTCACGCATTGGCTGTACGGTAACCCAAGAGGACATTTTACACGGTCAAATTCCGAATGTATTGAAACTCCAGACTCAACGTAAGAGCTTGAGCCTCTTCGGGGGGTGCTAACATTTAAACATACACTTCATTCTTTACTTTGTCCGTTATTATATGTAGAAGATATTACTTTTTTCTCCGTCATGTTGTTTCCATAGCAACAACTTCAAAATAAAAGCATCTAAATAGATTTGTGTTCTACACACCAAAATACGTTATTTGAACACCCCTCTCGATCGATTTACAAGAAAAATTAGTATGGCCCGCCCTAATACACCAACGCAGTTTTTAAAGATATACATTTTTCAACACAGAATCATTTGCCAAATTACACCATATCCAATCATTTTACGAGTCAGAAAATGCTATCTGTTCATTGCAGTTATTGTTTATTGAATTAGATTACCATGAGCTCAACATAATTATGTAGAGTACAAGTCCACAGCCAAGAAAATGTTATTTGCATATCATTTTATTTATGAATATGGAATTATGGAATTCTAACACTGGAATTTGTTATTATTTACTATAACTTTATTATATTATTCGGGTACAGCCCTACTGTACCAAAATATCCGAATATTCGTTCGTTGGAGTACTATTCGGGTTTCAATTTCGTTATTCAGATATTCGTTTTTGTTTTTTTTTCCCCGTTTTTTTTTCAAATTGAATTTATTGAAATCTCCAATATCAACGTAAGAGCTTGTGCCTCTTCGGGGGGTGCTAACACTTAACCATAAACGTTATCGTTTACTTTCTCCGTCTTTATATGTAGATATTACTTTTCTCCGTTAATCTCTGTCACGTTGTTTCCAAAGCAACAACAACTTCCTGTCAACTGCGCTAACTCTCCTTCAAAATAAAAGCATGTCCATAAATAGGACATGCCAAATTACACTTAACACATAGCCTATACAACTGCAATGAATGTAACAAACACAATGCGATATCCTTTTCAATTTCAAAGAACACAAATTGGGTTACATTAACAAATAACTATAAAACAACAATACTGTAGAATAACAAAATGAATGCCGTGAATACACTGAAATACACGTGTTGAAGCGGTTCGCTGCTGATTACTACGATTCCGTACAGCCAATCACAATGGGTGACGTCATTGGTAAGCGACGGACCCCGAACACATATGGTAGGCATGGATGTATAATAAGAACTGGATACAGCGTGGGAGGCGGGGCCTCATTCATTCCTATGAGAGTTGCTCATTCGCGCATGATGATAAAATGGCCCAACTTTTGAGAGAGCGAAACGTCACAGATTACCCGGCATGCCTGAGAAGTACCCGTATGTGCGCTCATAGCGCATGCGCAACTTTAACCATGCCCCCCAAAATGCTCGTTCACATCAAGCACGTCAATTTGCGTACACGTAACAGCACCGCACGTTCATGACAGCATGGTAATGTTTGTTATGATAGATTTGATATTAACGAGGCTGCAGTTAGCAGCTAGCGGGTAGCTAGTAATTATGCTAATTTACACATCAATCGTTATGTACTTTTATATTACGCTGTAACAGGATCTAGTGATATCCAAGCAACAGAGCTTCATTTAGCATGAAATAATTATTGCACTGTATATATATATATATATATATATATACACACATACACACACAGTGCAATAAGCTTCTTAGTGCAATAAGAAGCTACAGGGACGTTAATCTACGTCGGTAATATTAACTTTATTTAATACAACATTTACGGTACAAGATTTAATCATACAGCCCATGTAGTATAATATTTTACAAATGATGAATTACAGCAAACATGTGCAATATATCCATTATTACAGCTCCGTGGGCTGGCAGTAAGGCGATATGGGTCCGTTCTTATTGTGCATCCATGGGTAAAGATAAACTCATGTAGTGCTGAACACGTAACATGAACGTGCCGGGCGGCGCGGTCCCGTGGGTTAGATGCGCGTTCATAATGCAGAGGGAAATAACTCTCAGAATAACGTTATTAGCACATTTTACAACTTGAGGAACGAATGTTTTTAATAAGGGCTATACAAGTGTTCATACTGGGTAGTTTATTTAGTTTAAAAAAAATTATCCAACGATTTACAGACCACTCTTTCCCCATGTAAGTCAATGGGAAAAAGTGTTTCCGGGCCTGGCAACCAAAAGGAAGTGTAGTACCGCCGTTTGGCCAGCACGAATATTTTCATCAGAGTCCGGCGCACTTCCTGGGGGCTTGATGGTAGGGCGAACACATATGGTACTGACACCGGCATCTATTGCACTTCTGTCCATCCTGGGAGAGGGATCCCTCCTCTGTTGCTCTCCCCGAGGTTTCTCCCATTTTTCCCTTTGAAATGTGGGTTTTTCTCTGGAAGTTTTTCCTTGTACGATGTGAGGGTCTAAGGTCAGAGGGTGTCGTTTTCTCATACTGATATTCTGAACAAACTGTGCAACCCTGTCTCCTAGAAATTACGTTCCCGCAAAACTAAACTGCATTCTCAAATACGTTTCGCAAGAAACGTATTTCCTTCCACGTTACGTTTGTTATGAACATATCTTAAATACGTTTATTTTCTACATATCTTCTAGAAACCTATTTTCTCTCACATGACGTTTGTTATGAACGTATCTTAAATACGTTTGCTTTCTACCTATATTTGCCATTTCTTTTCTAGCTTATAATAATGATAATAGTCATTTATTAATATCATTTTAGAGCAAACTTATTTTCGCGCTGGCTGGCGGCTGACTTTTCAGTTGACCAAATCCGTTATTATGCTGGTTAATGCTTAATAATCACAATATTGTTTGTAGTCGTTTCATACAGCATTCTCAATTACGTTTAACAAGAAACGTCTTTTGTCCCACGTTACGTTTGTTCTGAACATATCTTAAATACGTTTGCTTTCTACCTATCTTTGACATTTCTTTTCTAGCTTATAATAATGATAATAGTCATTTATTAATATCATTTTAGAGCACACATTTGAAATCGACGATCGGGCTTGATATCCTATGGTTAAATTAAAATCAGTAGGCGAGGCTGTAATTTCGCCAGCTGCGAGGCAGAGTTTTAACATGCCAAAAAGCTGCTGTGTCGTTTATTGCACCTCAAACACCTCAAACTTCCTCTAAGGACAGCAGAAGAGCTCTGTGGCTTCAGGCTTGATCGCCGTTCAAATGACAGCGTTGGTTTCCCCAAAAGTGGGTGGGGCTGTGACGTAGATTTTACTCTCATCTATTATTCAAAACCATTCTATTTAATCCAAACGTCAATTACATGCCAGTGTTTTATCTTTTTATTAAGCGATTTGTTTATGTTGTTTAACTCATAGATATATATAAACATATGCTTTTATATATATCTATGGTTTAACTGGGAATGTTTTCACATTGAACCGGAAGTACGTCACTTCACTTTGTCTTCTTCGTCCCTTTTACGTTCCAGACAATGCATGGCTCAGCGTAACAGACTGAACAGCGACCCCAGGTGTGTCTTCATTGGAATTACATCTTCATTACTGAAGGAAAAAACTTTGTGTTTGTTAACTGGGTTTTTAATGCAGTTGGCTTTTCTTAATGGTTACAATATTGCTATGAGTTACAGTATATATCTGAAGCAAATTATGTTTCTGAAGATGTGTAGTCAATTCCACCCTTCAATGTAGCATAAATGTGAACTTTCATTACAGGAACAATACCGGAAACAGACGTAGGAAAGATCCTCAGCTCGCTGATTGGATGTTTTAGCCGCAATGCACGTTGGGATATGGTGTTTATGCGATGTGAAATCCGAAAACATTAAAAAAAATAATAATAATACTTTATTCCGAGTGTTCTTGCTTTTCTCTTTGAAAGTCATCACATAACGTTTTTCATCAGCGTTTTGCAGGTTTTTTGTGACACTAGTAGTAGAAAGGGACGTCGTTCATGCAGGTTTTTGGTGTCAGTAGAATCATTTTTAATCGTTTTATGATGCAGCTAAATGTCATTCAGTGTGTGCATGTTCCAGTTATTAAATGCTGCAACTAATGATTCAGAAAGGGATGTCGTTCATGCACTATTTTATCAGTTTTATTAATTTTATATCCTATATATATTCATGTTGCTCTGTTGGAGGAGTCATATCTACTCTGTTGCTAATGTGCACATGACAATAAATCCTCGAAACTTGAAACAGGAAATACACATTTCCACTGATACACGTAACACTCTTTATTCACCTCAGCTGATGCTGAACACTCACACAGTTCTTCCTCAGCTTATTACAGGTTTTGATGTCTCTAGTAGTAGAAAGGGACGTCGTTCATGCAGTTCTTGTGACTCTAGTAGTAGAAAGGGACGTCGTTCATGCAGTTCTTGTGACTCTAGTAGTAGAAAGGGACGTCGTTCATGCAGTTCTTGTGACTCTAGTAGTAGAAAGGGATGTCGTTCATGCAGAAGTTGGGCCTCAGACCCTCGAAGGTGCAGTCGGACGTCTCCATGCTGCAGCGGCCGCAGTGGCAGCTCAGAGCGACCGGGTAGGAGACGGTCGGGTCGATGCCGAGGGGGCAGTCAGGGAGGTCAAAGGTCATGTAGTGGTAGTCCTCGTACGTGCACACATGCTGGTACACTTTGCTGAACAGGGACTTGATGACAGAGTCCTGGGGGGGGGGGCAGATATTAAATCATTACATATTTTTGATTGAATTCTTTGATTTGATTTGTAAAACAATAATACAAAAAATTATAATAATAATGACATGAAACAAGAGAATTATGATACTGTGCAAACTTAAGCAGTATCAAATTGATAAACACAAATATTATTGACTTACAAATTATATATAAACAAATGATCTATTACACATCCGAACATTTTCCGAATATATTCACTGTTTTGCACGTGTTGTTTATCTTCTTCTGCTGATATGTATATCTTCATTGGTTTCAATAGAGCCTCTAATGCAGGGGTGTCAAACTCAATGGCACAGCCCCACCTAGTGTCAGCAGTAAGTAGTTAAAATAATAATTTAAAAAATATATACATATACATCTTAAAATATATATTAAGATCATGTTTAGTCATCTGATTCGTCTGTACATTGCTGTTTTAGTCTGTGTTCTTCTAATCAGTGTCCACATTGTGCCTATTGAGCCGTTTTGAGCGACGTGGGTCAAGCCCCGATCCAGCCCCTCTCTCTCACTGTCTAAGTGAATGGGTGCTGTAAAAACTACACTGCGCATGCTCAGAGTATTTTTCTATTCAATAAAATAATCACTATAGGGGCACTGTGCTGCCATACCCATCAAACGTCATCTCACATAATTCAGAGAGCTGATTGGCTGTAAGTACGTGTGCCACGAAAAGTGTAGTGTGTAAAGAGGAGACGAGAGAGAGCAGCGTATAGCGATTAAAATCAGTAAAACGGAAAGAAAATGAATGAAGTTGACTTCAGCTTTGGTAAGTTCATTTTATGTCATATCTTTTGTTGATCTTCTGTGTTTTGCCTAGGCTATTGCTCTGCTGGATCGATTGATATTGTGACACTGTATTGTTAACATGGCCCACCAGTGCAGAAATACCCGGATGTTGACAAGCAAGCCTCTATCACGACTTTTACTTCACTATAACACACATTTTTGTGGAGAATACGAAGATTTTTTCAGTTCTTGTCAAGCAAATGTATATGTATTACACATTGTCACTCCCAACTCGTCCTATGTGTCAGGATCCCTTGGCGTCACTATCAACGCAGTGGGGGCCCTTTAGCGTCGATTTTCAACTATCAGGGAGTCCCATTGACTTGCATAGAGCGACTTTATCCCACTATTCCCCACAGTACCTTGGTGGGGCAGTGTCCGCTGCAGATGGTCGTCTCCACTTGATGACACTTCGGACAGCCGTCCTTCTCCAGAGAAACCGTCTGGTTCACCAGCTGACAGAGAGGCAGCTGGAAGGCAACTGAGGAGGGAGAGGGTTGTTGGGAAAATACTGAATGTCCTCTTCCAACATGAGAGTAACATGATAACAAAGGTATCCCAACTGTAGCTGAGAACATGACAGGATGTATGATTACCTAGAAGAGCATCAGGACTGTTTGAGGCATATGATAGCTATGTGATTAACATGATGATTCAGCCTCTATGGAGATAGACATATGACAAGCATGATCATTTCTGACGTGGAGCTAATCTGAAGTAAACATTGAATACTGCTTTCTATTCCTCCATCTTGTGACTGTGTAACTCCCTCTCTTGGATATCAGCATGTGAAGGACACTGTTCAGGAACTAGTTGATGCTCTGTATGTGATGACTACTTCCATTCTGGAGAGGATCACAGATACATGGATCCTGAGATTGAAGCTCAAGCCGGTGACGAGTGATTATTAAAATGTTTAAGTATTCAGAAAAAGTCAGAATTCTGAGAAAAAAGTCAGATTTTTTGAGAAAAAGTCAGAATTCTGAGATTTTGAGAAATCAACAAAACACAAGACAGACAACTACAGATAGCACCACACATGATGGTTACTTGTTGTTATTTAGGGCTGCCTGTATGGATCAGGTTTTTGCTGAAGCGAGCCCTTTTACTATAATAATAATATGTTATGTATTAAATAAACTGTATAGGTACAATGAGCGACATCTAGTGACAGATTTTGGAACATTGATTTGATTTTTCTCATGGCAGTTAGACTCTAGAGACAAACCAGGGGACTTTCTTTTTATTTTTAATCTGTGTCTGTCCATTTGGTGTAGTATTTTATCCAATATTACATTTGGTTTATATATTACTCACTTAGGGGTTAGGTTGTGGAAGAGCGTAGGGCCTGCGTGGTGCACTGGCTCTCGGTAAATGAGTGTTTAAAAAAAACATTAAAAGACTCCATAAACATAGCCCTACTAAAAGCCTGTTTCTGTTAAAAAGCAGATCTCGCCAACCCAGGGTCTCTGGAGGGGGGTGTGTGTGTGTGTGTGTGTGTGTGTGTGTGTGTGTGTGTGTGTGTGTGTGTGTGTGTGTGTGTGTGTGTGTGTGTGTGTGTGTGTGTGTGTGTGTGTGTGTGTGTGTGTGTGTGTGCACGTGTGCGCGTGCGCGGAGCTCGTCCCAATGGAATCAGTAAAAGACCTTAAATGAGAAGGGGATCTAAAATGGTTGATTCAAAGTGATTCTAGTTCTGTTAGTTAAAACCATGAATAAAATACATTTAAAAGTGAAAGTGCAAGTATTAAAACACAAGTGCAATAATAAAATAAGTAGAATTAAAACAATCTCCCCAATAATTGAAACTAATTAATTGATTATTAATCATTTTAAAAGTAAAAGGAGTGTTATAATTAAACTAATAATAATAAGAATGATAATAAGTAAAAGAGGGAAGGGGGGCACACCGGGTTAGTAAAATGGTATAAAAATGAACTAGATGTCACTGGAAAATAAAAACCACTAAGAGCAAGGTCGGGTAAGTTTAAAAGATTCCATAGGACAGGTGTTTAGATTGCTCTGTTTATTTAAAAAGGTGGCAGGTCGGTGAAGAGTTTCTCTCTGCGGGTGGTTTTTCTGGCCTCCAGGTAATAAAATTAATTAAAATAAATATAAATAAATAAATAAAAGGATCACTCCTCATTGGCTTTGATTACAATCATAAGGTAAAAACATGCACATATATACTTTAAAGGTGGGGTAGGTAAGTTTGAGAAACCGGCTCGAGATACACTTTTTGTTATATTCCATGGAATGCTCTTAACATCCCGATAGCAATGAATATCTGAAGTGCTTTGACAAAAAATCCATAAAGAAATATCATCTGTGGAAGCCTACTGTAAAAAGCACGACCAATCATTTTAGCCGGCCCGGCTAAAATAACTGGATGGCCTACCTGCCTGTCAGCCTTCCATCTGTGCACAAACTTATCTCGTGCCCTCATTGGTCATGTGCGCGTTCGTGGGTGTTGGAGGAGGGGCTCTGTAAGGAAGAGGCAGATTTGTTCCGGCTGTGTATTTTCAAATTTGAGCGATCTCGAGCTGGTTTCTCCAAAATTACCTACCCCACCTTTAAAGGGATAAAACATGTAATAAGTGATAAAAACATAAATATGAACACCATTAAGATAAATAAGATAGTGCTAAAAACATGCGTTAAAAATGGAGCACACCAGTAAAAAAAGTCCAGATGAGGAGGATCACTAAAATTAATTGTTTTGGAATAAATATAAAAATCTCTATTTGATCAAATACGTGGAGGGTGAAGGAGATTAAAATCACCGATCTGCAGGGGAGAGAAACTGGGGGGAGAGGAGATCATACAGGTTGTTGAGGTTATTAAAACATGTTTGAGTGGTGGGAGGTGGACCCATCAGTTGTACTTTTCGTTTAATCCGCCCGGGTCAATGGTGCCCAGGCGATGGATCCACCTCCGCTCCGCCGCTCGCCTCTGAGCCGTGCTCCAGCCGCTGCTGCTCTCCAGGCCCATAGACTGCACATTCTGGAGGCCATGGAGTTTAAAATGGTTGTATAAAACGCTCGTGCAGTCCCCGTCTCTAATTCTGTATCGGTGTTGTTTTATTATGAGGCTGATCTCATTGCGCGTTTCCCCCACATAGAGGTCACCTGTCACCATCTTGTGGTGGCAGGGGAGAGGCACGGGCACATGTTTCATATCTCGGTTAATTTAATAAAACCAATGCTGTTCTTAGAGAGTATTTCACCTTATTTAGGGTAATGTCTGTGGCATGGTTATGGACACGTGGATACAACAACTATATCATAAGGTAGGGAAGGAAAAGATGGGGATTCAATAAGGAAATGGAGAAAAAGAGAGTACTGATTGTAAGTGACAAAAATAATACTAAGGGGTAGGAGAGGTTTTTAGGGTTTAAATTCAGGAGGGAAGAAGGTTCGGATTAGGTAAGAAGGTGGGGAGTGGTTATGGTTAGGATGGGGGGAAGGGAAGGGTTACATTGAAGGGAGGGAAGAGTGAAGGTTTAGATACAAGGGAAGGGAATAGATTATGGTTAGGAAAGAAGATAGGAGTGAAGTTAAAGGGGTTTGAGGTAGGGAGTAGGGTTAGGATAGAGAGACGGGGGAGGGGTTAGGGTTAGGATAGAGAGAAGGGGGAGGGGTTAGGTTGGAGGGATTTAAAATTTGGAAAATTAGGATTAGGTGAGAGGGGAAGGAAAGGTTAGAGCCATACCAGTTTACTGTTCCTGGGTAGTTTGGGGGGGTGGGGTAAGTGAGGGTAAGGGGGGACAGTCATAACCACCATTTACTAGAACAGCAGGTACTGGGGGTGGGGAGGCCTTGTCGGCTAGCTGGATAGCTAGGGGATTTGGGAATATAAGTAGTTCTGCCCAATGCATTTTATCTAACCCATAACTGTTTACTCTTCCTGGGTAGGGGGGTTAGGGTTATGTTATGGTTAGGGTTAGGGTCAGGCTTAGGGTCAGGGTTAGGGTTAGGGTCAGGGCTATGAAATGCCAGGTTTTAGGCCTTGGTTTGAACATTCAACCCTGAAAATAAAAAATCAATCCTGACAGGACTAGAGTAGATAGCAAGTAAGTAAATCTGTTACAGAGCCTGTCAATGTATAAATTGAGGAAATCAATGTTAGTCTGTTAACCAAAGTGCAGCCATCTATTAATGTATTCATTACATTGCCAGTATTTTTCGTTGTTGTGAAAAAAAGAATCGCCCCCTCGGATTCTTTAACAGCCCCCTCAGTCATTTCATCCTGGAGCCGGGCCTGTACCTGCTAAATGTTCCTATCATTATCCATATCATTATGACATTATAGTACTTTGCATTGAACTGGCGCTTCTATCCAAAGCGACTTACAAAGAGCGATAAGTCCTAAAGAACAAAATGAAAAATAAAAATGTATTTCACAAACTATTGTTCGTGCTATTTTCTTTTATAGAACATTGAATCTGCTCAAAGCCCAGAGTGAACAACTCAGAGGGACTTTCAAAAGACACTCACAGTATAATATAATATTATAAATGTAATTCAAATGAGTTGTAGTTACCTGCAGGAGCCGGGGGCCAAATGTAAGCTCCCAAAAACAGACTCAGCAAGAAGGAGAACTTCACTCCTCGGAGCTGAACAGCCATCGTCCTGCAGGAGACTTCATCAAACACAAAACTGCAGTCTGTTAAGGGTGAAAACACACAACCTGGCATCCATAAAAATAACAACCTGGCATCCTTAAAGCATTATTAAAGTGTCTACTAGACGAGATGCACTTCTACATTTTGAGAGTTTGGGCTCTTGTGCATCCATTTAATATCTTCTATCAGAACAGGGGAAAGAAAACGTCAATATAAACGCTTAGATGTTTATTTTACTAACTTTGTTTCTGTAGATTTCTCCTGAATTCACCATAAAAGGCATCACAGAATTACCCACTTTCACATTTAAACATAACATATTAATAACATTTAAAACAAAAATATATTAGCCTTAGTTTAAGTCATAACATAATGTACCTTGTTCACCTGAAGTAACTCACTAATTAAGTTTCAGTATCGACGTTTTTAAGTATATCCTATGCAATACCTGCTATAACGACTATTTCTCAACACTGTAATCATTTAAATAAAGATTAATTACTCTTACTATTGCCTGCAGGATTTATCCCACTTTCTCCACTTCTAAATCAAAGAGAAATACATAAAATATCATCCAGATAAATCCAAATCCAGATCTATGTATTAAAAGCTGGTTCTTGTTGTCAAAGACTCACCTGTGTGTGTCTGCAGGCGGTTCTGATGCTGGCTCTCCTGCTGGGTTTTTATACCACAGAAAAGACTCTGTATCCAGGATGAAAGTGGATCATATCGGACGTCATCACCTGGTTACCTGTGTTCAGGATGTCAGGTTTAATCTGCTGCGGATGGTCAACGTGACACACTCACTTCCTCCTGTTCATTATTAGTGGATTTGATCCTGTTGTTCAGAGGATCAAGGTTGTCGTTTTTTACTTCATGTCGGGAAAATACTGAATGTCCTCTTCCAATATGAAAATACATGATAACAAAGGTATCCCAACTGTAGCTGTGTACATGACAGGATGTATGATTACCTAGAAGAGCATCAGGACTGTTTGAGGCATATGATAGCTATGTGATTAACATGATGATTCAGCCTCTATGGAGATAGACATATGACAAGCATGATCATTTCTGACGTGGAGCTAATCTGAAGTAAACATTGAATACTGCTTTCTATTCCTCCATCTTGTGACTGTGTAACTCCCTCTCTTGTACATTACATTACATTGCATTTAGCTGACGCTTTATCCAAAGCGACTTACAATACGTGCATTCGACCAAGAAGATACAAACTTGAAGAAAACTAAGTATCATAAGAAGAATCATATAAGTACATCAGGTTTCATAGAGCCAACACATTTCAAGTGGTACTCAACTAGCTTTAGATAAGCCAGTCCTTTATTAGTATATAAGTGCTTTGTTAGTAATTCTTTGTCAACAACAGCTATTTATTTCACTATTAAGAAAAATATACGACTATATTTCATATTTACCTGCAATTGATTAAAGTTAGTTTGATATATCTTAACCTCCACTTTACCTCACTGAGTACTTGCTACATGCTCCTGCTGGCCATTTAACTGCGTGTTTACCATGTGTATTGTCTCGATCACAGTGTTTCACTTCCCAAGGTGGAAATGCAAGCTGTGAAACTGAATCAAACTGTTTGAATTAAATAAGAATAACAAAAAAAAGTTTAAAAAAAATGAAAGATATGACATTTACACACCAAAAAACTAAAACAAATGGAAAATGAATAAGGTATACAGACACAAGGAAACTATTGCTGTCTGGCAAAAGCTAAACTGCTTTTATTGTTTGTTATTTAGTTTATTTTTATGTAAGATTAGAATAACCCTTTAAAATCCAGACAACAAACATACAAATAAGAAATACACACACACAAAACACGAAATAAATGGGAACAAAGTACACAATACAGACATAGGACGTCACTACCGTCTAGCAAACATAATAACTAACATATTTCTGTTATTTAATATACATTTCTCTTAAAGAAATTCAAAGTTTCGACGAAGCTTTCAAATCCGGAACTAATCATTCGTCATTTTGAGTCGGACATAAAAGCGGACGGACCGATGTGGCATGCACTGCGCATGCGTGGTGACCAATGTGTTACGAAAAATGCTTTTTACCTGAAGGTTTTCTGAGCTTTGCTGGATAAACATTTATTGTAAACGTATTAAAATAATACAAACACAGCGGGGGTAATGGCGGAAGAAGAGCAGGAGAGCAAGAAGGTGAGTGTCTCATTCAGCTGTTGTTTTATTCATGATTTAAGGAAGTGTTTTAGAATATAGAGGCGATTCTAGAAGGTCAAAAACACCGGAAAACGTCCAGAAACGGATCAAAACATTCATACAGATCACCTCGTTGTTCAGGGTTTAGTAGTTTAACATCACCTTAATATAAAAGTTGATATGTATAACCTAAAGCTCATTCAAACAGATCTGGTTTACCATCTGTGTGTCTGTCTTCTGTGTTCAGAGATAACAGAAGCACAGCTCATGTTAACTTAAAACAACTTCAATGTTAAATATTTGTAATATACACGAAGGAAGTTCATTTGGTTATCAAAGAAACTACATGCAGTAATACGTGTATTCTGGTCTTGAACAAAAGGCAGTCTTGGTGATGTACAGAGGTGGAAAGAAATGTGAATGAAATGTCATACTTTTACTTCACTACAATTCAAAAGTTTTTCCTCCGCAATAAGCACTTTTCCACCTAATACTTTAATTACATTTTCCTGTTTGTGCCTGATTACTTTTACTTAAGTACTTCTTATTCTAGTTTCACACCTAAACTTAACTTAACCCATAAGGACCCATTGGGTGTCACATGAACTTTAAATGTTCTGGAAGGTTCCTTATACAGCTTAAGCCTTGTTGTTATCTCATGAAGTCCCTCAGTGACCCACACTGAACAGTCTGGGGGGTCCTGGTCATGTGACTTTGTGTTCCCATGACAACATGTCCAAGATGTCCATGTGCCAGACTAACACATGTGACCGAACGAGCTACAAAATTCAAGCCATTTAAGAATTAAAATGCTTACGTAACATGTCCTTTATTACATTGAACCTGTTGTGGAAACATTTCTTGATCAAATTGATATGAAACAAATGAGACAAACATCGCTGTGACACCGGCACTTTGGCAAGTTACCACATACGTTTTTAAAAAGCTTAATAAGCACCGTAACTTTCATGATATCATTTCTCGGTCATAATCGATTGTCTCCTTGAACGGCCGACTGTTGTGTGACGGTAAATGCTGCGGCCGCAAGGCATTGTGGGGCAGCATTTTCTCCTCTCCTTTCGGTGAGGGAGGTCCAGTAGTTCCTAAGCTAAAGGAGGTTATAAAGGAAGTTTGAAACCTCCTTTCCTATCATCTAGACAATTCTAACGGCACTTATCATGGCTGCCACTGAGGGACTTCCGGGTCATTTCACTCGGTTATGAAGGTTCCTAAGCTAAATGGACTACTGGACCGCAACCCGGGACTTTAACCCTACACTTTTACAGTAAACCCGGAGTGACCTATATGCACAATTAGAAATATGATTATGATCTGCTCCGTTAATTTAGCTGATTCAATTATATTGAGTTGATATCTTCTTATTCTTCAATTCAAACAAATTTAAACCAAAAAATCATCCTCATTAATGAAGTTATAAATAAGAGTTATTTTACCATTAAAGCCCAATGTGACACATACTGTACGTCACTTTTCAGATATGTGACACTAGGGGGGGGTTACTTGTCAGAAATGTGGTCTATTTAGTCTAAATGATGTTCCCCTTAATTTCCCCAAAAGTAGAAATGGGTCCGGGTTCTTTTGGGACTAATTGAATTCCCCTTGTCACACTGGTGCTCAACAAGACTCCACTTTTCAATATTTCCCCCACTTTTAGAGAACAAATACAAGAAAGTATGAGATTTAACAGATTTCTAGCTGTCTTAGCTAATTCGAGATATTAGTGTGTATTAACGTTGAGCAAAGCCATCACAAGTGAACCAAATCACACTCAAATATGTGTTGATTTAAGGTTGTAGTGAAACAACTGAGTCACTGTTACTTGGTAATTATTCACCAAATGGCAGAAAAACAATCTATTTTATATGAATATTGACATGGGAATCCCACACTTTCATCATATGTAATAGTCTTATTTGTTCATGTGAACCAGTCGCTGCGAATACAGTAAATTCTGCATTTTAAATAACACTCTTGTTGTGCAATATTAACACACACACACACACACACACACACACACACACACACACACACATATACAAACACATAAATGCAGACACTTACACGTGATACCTCTTTATAATTATTATGACTGGCTCTATCTCTTAGTGAGACCATTACATCAGAATCAAAATGTTTTTTATCACCAAGTACACATAATTAATTTGCTTTGCTACATGAGGTGCTTACAGAGACACAGCTAGAAGAATAGGTAGCAAAATTAAATTAAATACATGTTATGACAGCTATTTAAAAAACTATTATAACAATATTTAAATATGATAAATACTATATACTGTATTTAAAGAGAGAGCTGTGCTGATTTAAAAAGAGGTAGCATGGAGAGGAAATGTTCAACATGTGTAGGATTTATAATTTTAACAAGATGTTCTCATGATGTGCATTGCATAGTATAAATATATTTCAGCAAAATCAAGTGTTTTTTGTATTTTTCTATTCTCTTGACAAGTGGGACAAACCTCAGTTTATTGGATTTTAGTCCCTCGTCTATTTGTATCCATAGACTGTATATATAAATGGACATAGTGTCCGTGACGTAACCCATAGGTTTCTGCAGAGTTGCTGAGAAGCCCTTAGTAGGCGGAGTCGGCCGCTGCCGTCTCGACAGTGACGTCAGAGCCTAACTCCAGCCTGATCCAAATAAGGGCAAAGAGGCGGAGCCGAGGCGGCATAAGATAACTCCGATATTTAAATGAAGAATACTCCACCAGGCACCAACACAACAAACACGTCCGAGTTCAAGTTGTGTTCCCCAGATCAGCCTCGCAGCCGAGCCCCTGTAGCTAACAGAGCTAACGGAGCTAGCAGAGGGACAGAAAGCTAGAAGCCGCAGTCACCCGTCCATCAAAGGGACCACGCCCTAATTTATGCAAAAACATTAAGACCTAATATAACTAAAAGGGGTGCGTTATAAAACAATTCACTCCCCAATCCATAGTCATGAAGGTGGAATCTAACTATATCCAGAATAATTGTTATGGCACCCAGGGGTAGAAACGTGTTTATTTCTGCTGTAAAGTTGGGCATGTTAACATGGGGGTCTATGGAAATAGCTCCTTTCTGCAGCCATCCCCTATTGGCCACTAGATGAACTGCAGTTTGTGGCACGTCCTTATGGGCTTCCCGGCTCTGCCCCAGAGTTTGCCGCTTGTTTTTATTTGAACCTGAAGCAAAAAATGTGATGTTTTTTTCAATGGATAACAATTAGTTATTTTCAATAGCTTCCATAGACCTATGACATCAATAGTTTCCATGTCATGTGACCCAATGACTCCAAATCAATGCACTCTTGTATCTGGGTCACAAACACCAGGAATAGATCACTGACACCCAGAATACTAATACACTTATATAAACATATAGAGGTCAGTGAATAAGTGAGTTGAAGGATTCAAGAGTGTTGACCTTTCGGATGTGACTGGAGTTCCAGAGTTGATATGATTTAAAGGTCACCTATTCTGTAAAATCCACTTCATGTCTCTTCTTCATCAACATGTGTCCCCTCTTCTTCATGTCTCTTCTACATCAACATGTGTCCCCTCTTCTTCATGTCTCTTCTACATCAACATGTGTCCCCTCTTCTTCATGTCTCTTCTACATCAACATGTGTCCCCTCTTCTTCATGTCTCTTCTACATCAACATGTGTCCCCTCTTCTTCATGTCTCTTCTACATCAACATGTGTCCCCTCTTCTTCATGTCTCTTCTACATCAACATGTGTCCCCTCTTCTTCATGTCTCTTCTACATCAACATGTGTCCCCTCTTCTTCATGTCTCTTCTACATCAACATGTGTCCCCTCTTCTTCATGTCTCTTCTACATCAACATGTGTCTCCTCTTCTTCATGTCTCTTCGACATCAACATGTGTCCCCTCTTCTACATGTCTCTTCTACATCAACATGTGTCCCCTCTTCTTCATGTCTCTTCTACATCAACATGTGTCCCCTCTTCTTCATGTCTCTTCTTCATCAACATGTGTCCCCTCTTCTCCATGTCTCTTCTACATCAACATGTGTCCCCTCTTCTTCATGTCTCTTCTACATCAACATGTGTCCCCTCTTCTTCATGTCTCTTCTACATCAACATGTGTCCCCTCTTCTTCATGTCTCTTCTACATCAACATGTGTCCCCTCTTCTCCATGTCTCTTCTACATCAACATGTGTCCCCTCTTCTTCATGTCTCTTCTACATCAACATGTGTCCCCTCTTCTTCATGTCTCTTCTACATCAACATGTGTCCCCTCTTCTTCATGTCTCTTCTACATCAACATGTGTCCCCTCTTCTTCATGTCTCTTCTACATCAACATGTGTCCCCTCTTCTTCATGTCTCTTCTACATCAACATGTGTCCCCTCTTCTTCATGTCTCTTCTACATCAACATGTGTCCCCTCTTCTTCATGTCTCTTCTACATCACCATGTGTCCCCTCTTCTTCATGTCTCTTCTACATCAACATGTGTCCCCTCTTCTTCATGTCTCTTCTACATCAACATGTGTCCCCTCTGTGGAAAGAGACTCTGAAAGTTTCAGGAAAAAACATTCTCTCTCTTTTTGTCCTGATCCATTTCTATAAAAACCTGTCTGAAAATGAGCTGATCAGATTTTGGCCACTTTATGATGTCATAACGGTGTTTTGGCTTGTGTAACCATTAGCCAATCAGCAACCAAGGTAACCCCCCCCCCCTTATCACCTGAATCTCCTCCTAGAGCACCATTGACTTCTTTTTAACCAAATCTCTCTCAGAGGGGCGTGGGGAGGGGCTCCTTATTTTCATCTAAAGTAACAAGACAGAGAATCAGCACTTTGGAAACAGGGCTGAAACAGAGGGGATTCTGGGATGCTGCAATGATCTGTTTGGTGTTTCAGCCAATCAGAGACAGGTTCTGGATATATCTGAGACCTGTGATATATTGATGAGAAACAGTATAATAGGGGACCTTTTAAAGGGGTCACTTTGACGGTCTGTTTCTGTCCTCAGGGTTTCCGGCTGCTGGGGATCCTGGATGTTAAAAACACGCCGTGCGCCAGAGAGGCCATCCTGCACGGAGCGGGGGGGGCAGTCGGTGCCGGCCTGATCCACTTCCTGACCACCAGTGAGGCTTATTTTTAGTCTGAACTGTGTGTGGTTTTTTTCTCTGCAAATGTAGGGCATTTTATTGCACTCAACTTTAAAGAGGCCCTATTCTGATTTGTGGTGTTTTTCCCTCTCCTTTAGTTCTATAGGTTTTAAAGTAGAGACACCTGCACATCAGCAGGAGAGGACTCTTTAAAGTAGAGACACTACATACTGATATACACCTGAACATCAGCAGGAGAGGACTCTTTAAAGAAGAGACACTACATACTGATATACACCTGCACATCAGCAGGAGAGGACTCTTTAAAGTAGAGACACTACATACTGATATACACCTGAACATCAGCAGGAGAGGACTCTTTAAAGTAGAGACACTACATACTGATATACACCTGAACATCAGCAGGAGAGGACTCTTTAAAGTAGAGACACTACATACTGATATACACCTGAACATCAGCAGGAGAGGACTCTTTAAAGTAGAGACACTACATACTGATATACACCTGCACATCAGCAGGAGAGGACTCTTTAAAGCAGAGACACTACATACTGATATACACCTGAACATCAGCAGGAGAGGACTCTTTAAAGTAGAGACATTACATACTGATATACACCTGAACATCAGCAGGAGAGGACTCTTTAAAGTAGAGACACTACACACTGATATACACCTGAACATCAGCAGGAGAGGACTCTTTAAAGTAGAGACACTACATACTGATATACACCTGAACATCAGCAGGAGAGGACTCTTTAAAGTAGAGACACCAAATACTGATATACACCTGAACATCAGCAGGAGAGGACTCTTTAAAGTAGAGACACTACATACTGATATACACCTGAACATCAGCAGGAGAGGACTCTTTAAAGTAGAGACACTACATACTGATATACACCTGCACATCAGCAGGAGAGGACTCTTTAAAGTAGAGACACTACATACTGATATACACCTGAACATCAGCAGGAGAGGACTCTTTAAAGTAGAGACACTACATACTGATATACACCTGAACATCAGCAGGAGAGGACTCTTTAAAGCAGAGACACTACATACTGATATACACCTGAACATCAGCAGGAGAGGACTCTTTAAAGTAGAGACACTACATACTGATATACACCTGAACATCAGCAGGAGAGGACTCTTTAAAGTAGAGACACTACATACTGATATACACCTGAACATCAGCAGGAGAGGACTCTTTAAAGTAGAGACACTACATACTGATATACACCTGAACATCAGCAGGAGAGGACTCTTTAAAGTAGAGACACTACATACTGATATACACCTGAACATCAGCAGGAGAGGACTCTTTAAAGTAGAGACACTACATACTGATATACACCTGAACATCAGCAGGAGAGGACTCTTTAAAGTAGAGACACTACATACTGATATACACCTGAATATCAGCAGGAGAGGACTCTTTAAAGTAGAGACTCTACATACTGATATACACCTGAACATCAGCAGGAGAGGACTCTTTAAAGTAGAGACACTACATACTGATATACACCTGAACATCAGCAGGAGAGGACTCTTTAAAGTAGAGACACTACATACTGATATACACCTGAATATCAGCAGGAGAGGACTCTTTAAAGTAGAGACACTACATACTGATATACACCTGAACATCAGCAGGAGAGGACTCTTTAAAGTAGAGACACTACATACTGATATACACCTGAACATCAGCAGGAGAGGACTCTTTAAAGTAGTCTGTCCTCGTTGGTCTCTCAGTTTTTCTTTGTGTCTTCAGGTCGGGTCAAGAGGTCGTTTGACGTTGGATTTGCAGGATTCATGTTCACCACCCTCGGGTCCTGGTAGGTCTTCATGATGACTCATCCTTCATCTATACCCTTTAAATCAGATGTAACTATTGCTTGTTTTCCCTTGTATACCTACCGTAACAAACAACCTGTTTACTGATAGAAAACCCTGCCTTTCATGAAGCATCCACCACTTCTTTGTACCTAACTCTAAGGGAATACTTATTTTTGCATCCTAGTTACACAATGCACCGGAGTATATCATATGTGACCTTCTCCATCCTTACATCGCCAGTAGGTCACTTGGGTCTTTTAAAAAACAACTGAAGACCCATCTTTATACATTGGCTTTTGTTTCTAAGTGCTCTCTGTTTTGTTTTCATGTTAACCTTCATTCCTGCCTCATGTTGTTGTTGTTGTATTCATGTTTCTGTGAAAGGTGCTATACTCAGAGATGGCAAAAGTACACACATCCTTTACTCAAGTAGATGTACAGATACTCGTTTTTAAAAATACTCTGGTGAAAGTAGAAGTTCTGACTAAACTTCTTTACTCAAGTCAAAGTAAAGAGGCTTTGAAATGTACTTCAGTAAAAAGTACCCATAACTAGCAGCTGTTTTAAAGAGTACCTGACCTCCCTTTATATTAATAGAACAATAATGTCATTGTTAGCTAATGAATGTTTCCATGCTGAACAACGGCAACATGACAACGTTTTCATTGGTCCCTCTTCTTTAGAGAAGACCAGGAAATGATGGATACACGGATCGTGTTCAAATCAATAGGCACGCAATGACTCTAAATAATAATGATCACGCCACCAAACACACATTCAAACTAAAGGAACCAGCCTGTTTGGGAAATGTAAGAAGTAGAAAGTACAGGTATTTGTGTTCAACATGTAAGAAGTAGAAAGTACAGGTATTTGTGTTCAACATGTAAGAAGTAGAAAGTACAGGTATTTGTGTTCAACATGTAAGAAGTAGAAAGTACAGGTATTTGGGTTCAACATGTAAGAAGTAGAAAGTACAGGTATTTGTGTTCAACATGTAAGAAGTAGAAAGTACAGGTATTTGGGTTCAACATGTAAGAAGTAGAAAGTACAGGTATTTGAGTTCAACATGTAAGAAGTAGAAAGTACAGGTATTTGTGTTCAAAGTGTAAGAAGTAGAAAGTACAGGTATTTGTGTTCAACGTGTAAGAAGTAGAAAGTACAGGTATTTGAGTTCAACATGTAAGAAGTAGAAAGTACAGGTATTTGTGTTCAACATGTAAGAAGTAGAAAGTACAGGTATTTGTGTTCAACATGTAAGAAGTAGAAAGTACAGGTATTTGTGTTCAACATGTAAGAAGTAGAAAGTACAGGTATTTGTGTTCAACATGTAAGAAGTCAAAGTAAAAAGTCGTCAGAAAAACAAGTAGTGGAGTAAAGTACTGATAACAGAAACATGTACTTAAGTACAGTAAAGAAGTATTTGTACTCCACTACTTCCCACCTCTGCCTGTACTAAATATTATTATTATTATAACCTCGTTAGATGTAAACCATTCCTCTCGTCTGTCAGTAACCTAACGCTGA